GTATTATCTAGGACGCTTTCTTCTCTTATCTAGGACGCTTCGTGTATTATCTAGGACACTTCGTTTATTATCTAGGACGCTTCGTGTATTATCTAGGACACTTCATGTATTATCTAGGACGCTTTGTGTATTATCTAGGATGCTTCGTGTATTATCTAGGACGCTTGGTGTATTATCTAGGACGTTTCGTGTATTATCTAGGACGCTTCGTGTATTATCTAGGACACTTCGTGTATTATCTAGGATGCTTCGTGTATTATCTAGGACGCTTCGTGTATTATCTAGGATGCTTCGTGTAATATCTAGGACACTTCGTGTATTATCTAGGACACTTCGTGTATTATCTAGGACACTTCGTGTATTATCTAGGACACTTCGTGTATTATCTAGGACGCTTTGCGTATTATCTAGGACGCTTCGTGTATTATCTAGGACGCTTTGTGTATTATCTAGGACGCTTCGTGTCTTATCTAGGACGCTTCGTGTATTATCTAGGATGCTTCACGTATTATCTAGGACGCTTCGTGTCTTATCTAGGATGCTTCGTGTATTATCTAGGATGCTTCGTGTATTATCTAGGATGCTTCGTGTATTATCTAGGACGCTTCGTGTATTATCTAGGACGCTTCGTGTCTTATCTAGGATGCTTGATGTATTATCTAGGATGCTTCGTGTATTATCTAGGATGCTTCGTGTATTATCTAGGATGCTTCGTGTATTATCTAGGACGCTTCGTGTATTATCTAGGATGCTTCGTTTATTATCTAGGATGCTTCGTGTATTATCTAGGATGCTTCGTGTATTACCAGGACGCTTTGTGTATTATCTAGGACGTTTCGTGTATTATCTAGGAAGCTTCGTGTATTATCTAGGACGCTTCGTGTATTATCTAGGACGCTTCATGTATTATCTAGGACGCTTCACGTTTTATCTAGGACGCTTCGTGTCTTATCTAGGACGCTTCGTGTATTATCTAGGACGCTTCGTGTATTATCTAGGACGCTTCACGTATTATCTAGGATGCTTCGTGTATTATCTAGGACGCTTCGTGTATTATCTAGGACGGTTCGTGTATTATCTAGGATGCTTCGTGTATTATCTAGGACGCTTCGTGTATTATCTAGGACGCTTCGTGTATTATCTAGGACACTTTGTGTACTATCTAGGACGCTTCGTGTATTATCTAGGACGTTTCGTGAATTATCTAGGACGCTTCGTGTTTTTTCTAGGACGCTTTGTGTATTATCTAGGACGTGTCGTGTATTATCTAGGACGCTTCGTGTATTATCTAGGACGTGTCGTGTATTATCTAGGACGCTTCGTGTCTTATCTAGGACGCTTCGTGTATTGTCTAGGACGCGTCGTGTCTTATCTAGGACGCTTCATGTATTATCTAGGACACTTCGTGTCTTATCTAGGATGCTTTGTGTATTATCTAGGACGCTTCGTGTATTATCTAGGACGCTTCGTGTATTATCTAAGACGCTTCGTGTATTATCTAGGACGCTTCGTGTGTTATCTGGACGCTTCGTGTATTATCTAGGACGCTTCGTGAATTATCTAGGACGCTTCATGTATTATCTAGGACGCTTCGTGTATTATCTAGGATGCTTTGTGTATTATCTAGGACGCTTCGTGTATTATCTGGACGCTTCGTGTATTATCTAGGACGCTTCGTGAATTATCTAGGACGCTTCATGTATTATCTAGGACGCTTCGTGTATTATCTAGGATGCTTCGTGTATTACCTAGGATGCTTCATGTATTACCTAGGACGCTTCGTGAATTATCTAGGACGCTTCATGTATTATCTAGGACGCTTCGTGTATTATCTAGGATGCTTTGTGTATTATCTAGGACGCTTCGTGTATTATCTGGACGCTTCGTGTATTATCTAGGACGCTTCGTGAATTATCTAGGACGCTTCATGTATTATCTAGGACGCTTCGTGTATTATCTAGGATGCTTCGTGTATTACCTAGGATGCTTCATGTATTACCTAGGATGCTTCGTGTATTATCTAGGACGCTTCGTTTATTATCTAGGACGCTTCGTGTATTATGTAGGACGCTTCGTGTATTATCTAGGACGCTTCGTGTATTATCTAGGACGCTTCATATATTATCTAGTATGCTTCGTGTATTATCTAGGATGCTTCGTGTATTATCTAGGATGCTTCGTGTATTATCTAGGACGCTTCGTGTATTATCTAGGACGCTTCATGTATTATCTACGACGCTTCATGTATTATCTAGGATGCTTTGTGTATTATCTAGGACGTGTCGTGTATTATCTAGGACGCTTCGTGTATTATCTACGATGCTTCATATATTATCTAGGACGCTTCGTGTATTATCTAGGACGCTTCGTGTATTATCTAGGACGCTTCGTGTATTATCTAGGACGCTTCGTGTATTATCTAGGACGCTTTGTGTATTATCTAGGACGCTTCATGTATTATCTAGGACGCTTCGTGTATTATCTAGGACGCTTCGTGTATTATCTAGGACGCGTCATGTATTATCTAGGATGCTTCGTGTATTATCTAGGACGCTTCGTGTATTATCTAGGATGCTTCGTGTGTTATCTAGGACGCTTCGTGTATTATCTAGGACGCTTCGTGTATTATCTATAATCACGTCAGCAGCCGCCCTCCCCCCCAATGCAAAGCAAAGCCCACAAGAGCCGGCAACCAGTACCAGTCTGGCCGCAGGCGTTGGTCACAGGGAGCCGAGTTCGTAATGGAACAAAAAAAACGTGAATCTGTAGGAGGGGGTGGGGAGGCGAGGGGTGGGAGGCGGATGGGTTCATAATGACTGGCTTTACCATATGTATCCACGAATCCGTGGTGTTGTGGGGCGACCTCTAAGAGATCCGGCTGGGCTCTGTTCCGCCGCCGAGGTAGCTGGCGTGATGGATAAATGCGACCCTCTGATAAAGACGCCATCGTGGGGCCGCTGGGGCCATTTGTGATTTTTTTGTCATTGCAAATTTGGGAAGCGCTTTTGAGGTGGAGCGCCGCTTGCCTCTGGGTCCGGAGGAGCGCCGAGGCGGAGGATTGGGATCGCGCCGACAGCAGCGCGGTTCGGCCCTCCCCACACGCACAGCGCGCAGGCCGGAGAGGGGGGGGCGATGGTTGAAAATGACTTCATTTTTTTAAAATAGCGCTTGCACATGGAATGGATGCTGTACGGTTTGGGGAAAAAATCCTTCCTGTGATTGAATTAGATTTCATTGCCCACACATTACCAATTACGGTATCTTACGCAGTTACAGGAGGTCCATTAGGATTTTGTAAACAGTTTGTTCTTTCTTAACGATTTTTTTTGGCTGCAGTTATTTTTACAGTGTATAAAATTTTGCAGAAATGTCGTGAATCCACTGCTGGATTAAGGTCTGCCTACGCCGTGTTGGTTGTGGTGGTGAGATGTTAACTACTTCGCCAAGTATACAAAGGATGTCGTGGGCCTGTATATGTGGAGTTTGCATGCCTCTCTCCCTGCGGTGTACATATGTGACCGGATGTCACCGCAACGGTTCAATGCCAGGTGGAGAGCATAGACGTGGGAGCATAGAGAGTGCAGTACAATGATGGATCTTGCTGCACTGCCTTCTGCTGCCTGACAGCAGCAGCAGCCTGTGACAGCCTCCTATTGGCATGGTGGTGGTCCCCCATTCAGGCTCAACACCTGCTTAGCTTATGAAATGTGACAAGATCGGGTGCCCTCTGGGTGATTTGGCCATAGGTCTTGATTACAGGATTACTGTTGTTACAATTATTCGCTATCCGCCACGTAGTGTGTTTACAGTAGAGTAGATTCACTTGAAGCAAGCGCTGCCGACCAATGTTTTACCGTAACTACAGCAACCACTTTGAATAATCCCCACAGTGCTCGTCTCAACCACTGTCACCTTGTGCACAGTTTTATAATTGTTGTAGAGCGCCGTGGACGAAGGCGCCGCCTTGCACAACTCCGCAAGTGGGGGAGAGAAGGGACCCAGCGTTGCACCATCTCGCGTGTGTAAACACCGCATTATATCCGCGGAATAACATTATAGTTCTCCCAATTCTCCTTCCAGTGGCTCCATGCTGCGGCCCTTATGGCCCCAGTAACGGCAATGGTGATTTAAAAGAAAAAATCGCGGAAGCGAGCCTAATTATTCGCGAAAGTCTCTTTCGCGTCATAAGGGGCTGTCCATAAATGGCGTCACGCACCTGGGGAGGGGGGGGGGCAGATTTTTGTGACGATGTGTGACGAGAGGGGGGGGGGTGGGTTGAGAAATGTGACGTCACATCAAAATGCGCAACTTTAAATAAATATAGAATTGTTATAACAACACTAATTGTTATAACGACACTCCTACAACGTCAGAGTGCAGCGCCACATTAAATACGCACTACAATGACAATAGTTTAAAGCGATTTGAAGCATGTTTTATTTTCAAAATGGAAATATGGTTTTGGGTGGGGGGGGGGCAGAGCTTTGTGACGTCATATTTGAGGGGGGGGGGTCTGACTTTTTGTGACGCCGTGTGACGAGGGGGGGGGGGTCAAAAATAATCCAAAATCACGTGACGTCATTTATGGACGGCCCCTAAGGCTCCCCCTCCCTCCCGAAGACACCAAAACGTGTCTCCGTCAAAGCAGACGCGGTGCGGACCGCGGGCTCTTGAGACTCAAGCAAAATGGAGGAAAAAGCAGCGTGGGAAACGCGGAGGAGGACAAATCGCGTCAGTAATCGGTAATCGCGATTAGTGCTGAGGCTTAACGAATGGAGAGAAATATAACTCATCAAATTGTGCAAAGTTGTGCATTATTTCTGTGGCTAGCAAATGGCCAAAGGCGACCCGACTTCAGTATTCGGCATCTTATCTTCTTTTGTATTGCAGCCATGCAATCGTTGCATGAAATATATTCAGATAAAAAAACACAACATTAGTATCAAATAATGGAATAAGCAAACATCTAATGACAGGATCCCCTTGCAGCCGCAACTCACCTTGGTAGTGGAATCGGAACGAGCCCGGGACTCCGATCTGGAAACTCTGGAAATGAACCGACACTTGATTGGTCGGACTCCGGATCACCTGACCCTCGACGAGCAGCGTCTGATTGGCCAGCACGAGGGGGCGGCCGTCGAGGATGCTGTAGATGGACAACAATTCCCCCTCCAGCAGGTTCAGGGTCTTCACCTGGACAGAAACGGGCAGGGTGTATGGAGGACGATCGTGTTGAGTTTCTTACTGAAGCTCACTCGACATAAACCTGCTAAAACCCCTTCAAATCCTCGCAGCTTTACAATCTCTAATGCTTACGACAAAGACGCTGTTCATTGCACGATAAGTAACAGAATGATCACATGGACGATGAAAAATTATGACTGCAGTACTGTTACATTTCTTATCATAACGGGCAATCGGCATTTAATTACGACACGAATGACTGAGCTTATTACTTCCAATGTCCATTTCTTTGGGAGATATATTTTTTTGTCAAAAATAAACCAAACAAACGATAACAATGATGCTAAGCGTCGTCGCCGTGCCACCCTACCGCGGCAGCCCTCCCTGCCAAGTCAAAATAGATAAGCGGACAAAAAGTCTCCTTCACATCTCCGTCTCTCCAAGTAAAAGAAAATAAGTAATAAGTTAAAACAACTTTTTTAAAAACACGCCTTAATGAAATGTACCGTACTCGTAATGGAAGAACTCCACGACTCCAGGAAGTGGCCCCGAAGCTTGCCATAACGTAAGGGGACCGTGGTGACTTACAGCCAACGTGAGTTGAGCATGGACAATTAGACCCAAGCCGAAACAAAACATAAAAAAATAATTTTCATTTAAAGCTTTCGTGACTGCAGTAATTCATATTCTTAGTTTTTTCGGTAAAGTCACGTTGAAGAGAAACAACAAAATAATAAAATATATATAAAACAATAAAAAATTCTCACGACGTTTCGACCATAACTCAAATGGTCATCTTCAGGTGTGTTGGTTTGCATAAATTTATTTTTAAACGGCGCATTTATTTGTTTAAAAATATATCTTTTTAGTTTTTATGATAGAATATAGTATTGCATCAATATGACATAAATATACAAAGTTTGCAGTCGATACCACATTGGGAAGTGGGTTAAAATTTAGTTACAATATTTGAGGATGCAACAACAACAGACATAGTGAGTTAATAAAAAGCGTGTAATAAAAAGAAAGCATTTCTAACACGACCCATCAGCCGCACGGCCTTCTGTGAGTGCATCAATTCAGCATCACAGTTTCGAGACAAGCACAAACTGTGGACCGGTTTTCATCACGCGGCATCTCATAAGCAGACCGTCAGGCTTGCTTCAATCGACGCTGGTGAACCAGCGATCTTACAGGCAAGGGAGCCCTCCTCTCTTTTCCGCATGGGGTCCCTGTGTGACCCCCCTTGGAGCCGGTCTAGCACCGACAGCCGGACAACACCAAAGGTTCAACGTATCTCGGTGAAGAGGGAGAGAGGCTGTAATGCCTTCTCCTGTCCAGCAGATGATGGGTGGCCAGGGCAGCACATTCTGAGAAAGGTCACCTAATCGCCAACGGAGATCAAAATGCGAGGGGAGTGCACGATGCGTCACGTGGCTAATGCCGCTGCTACTGCGGCCGCTGCTGCTCCACCGGCCCACGTTACCCTCCGTAGGAACTCGCAAGGGGGTGAGAGTTGTCAACCCCATACACGGCTGCCTTTGTCTCCCCAGTGCTGATACTCGTATAGGGGAGGCCCCAGGACTGGTTCAGACATTCACCACTGCGATTGGCCGTGACCGGGACTCGAAACAACGGGGTTCGTAGTGCGGTGCGCTTACCCAATACGCCGCCGCTTCCCATTCACGCTCGCCCGCACAACGCGTGCGCGCCCGCAGGGTCCCGCACAATGCGAGCGCACGCAGGAGCACGTGCGTGCTGGTGCTGTCACCCACGTGCTGGTGCTGTCACCCACGTGCTGGTGCTGTCAACCACGTGCCGTTTACCGCGTGTGCGAAACGAGCCTTTAGTCGGGGCGTTCACAGTTCCGCACGAGCGTGACAGGGTCAGAGACGGGAGCGCGAGACTCGTCTCATTTTCTGCAAACGCTTGGGCCAATTTGCGCACGGCTTGCGAGGCGAGGCGCGGAGCAGACTGTGGGTCACCAACGTCATCATTATCATCGTTATCGTCATCATCTTTATCGTCATCATCATTATCGTCATCATCGCCGTCATCTTAGTGATCACCGTCATCAAGCAGTCTGAGCTAAACCCTGCGGTGAGGCCCTCTCACCTAGCCGGCAGCAGAATTTAAATTATCGCGATTCACTTGCGCGCTTCCTCCGATCCTCTCACAGCTGCACTCCCGCCATCGTTTCCACTACGACATGGTCTTCATCGGATTTTATCTTGTTCGTGTGTGTGTGTGTGCGTGCATCGCTTTTTAATTTCTTCTGATTTCCACAGACTTCATTGCCGCTGTTGCTTTTTACATTATTGCTTTTGTCATTTTTGGTGACCCAGGTCAATTTGCAAATGAAACTATCCGGCAGGTCTCTTGGAGTTCTCACCTCATTAAACAGAATAAAGTTGAAACTTGAACACAAAACTGCTGACAACCGTTGTGTGTGTGCGACCTTGCCACCAATTTGTCACGACCGCTCCTCGCCACGGATTCACCCTCCCGGGCATGGCCGAGAGAACAGCCGCAGCCGCTCCTCAACATCCGTGGTACCGACGTCGCGGCTCTGTAACATCTCTTGCACGAAGGTCCCCGCCCCAGTCCCCCCCCCCTTTAGCGTTAACCCCCCCTCCACCATCCACCACAGCCCCATGGATCGCTTGGCGCAGCATTCCCCGAGCGTCCGGCCGCGACGTCCACAGAACCCATCGTCCGCGCCCGTGAAAAGCGCCATTCAGACGTTTCGACCGCGAGCCCAAACAAGGGAAACTATCTTTGAACAAACGTTCATGTGGAGAAGAATGTCTTTAGTGAACAGTGGGCAGGGGGGAGAGAGGGGGGGGGCTGTGGGGGAGGGGAGGGTTGGGGGGGGGGCAAGGTGCCTGCTGTGGAGCGGGGCAGGACGCGCTAGTGAGTCTCTCGATCGAGGCTCCAACGTCGCCATTTTAATTTTCCCCGTCGAAACTTGACCCTTGACGGCCGCTGCCCTTTGGGCGCTCGTTGGCGACCCCCGGCGGGGGATGCGCTGCTCGGAGGCGGCGGCGGCGAACGCGATCGTCCGCGGGGTTTTTTTCCCTTTTTCTTCTGCCGCGCGCGCACGAGGGTCACGCTGGCCGAGCCGAAGAGGCGGCGGCGCCGCTTTGCGAAACCCTCCCTCCGGAGACGACAGGTGGCAAGACGAGCCAGGGTCGGGGACGGTCCTCGCGGAAGATGAGCAAGAGGAGCGAGGAGGAAGAAGGAGAGACGAGGAACGAGGGAGGGAGGATGAAAAGGAGGGATGAGCAAGAGGAGCAGGAGGAGGATGAAAAAACGTTGGCGATGTGGGGTGGTGGGGGCACTTGGCAAGGCACCAATTCGGTTGAACCAGAATGCGCTTGGTCACGTGTTGTTACGTTTCAACCGACCACGCAGTGTCGGAGAGGCTGGCTGAGAGTCCCACCCCACCCTTTTGAAACCACACATCCCGTACTGTAGAGCATTAAAGATAATAAAATGAATGCTTTTTTTCAACCGCGTAAAATTAAAATTGTTTTATCCAATCGCCCAGTTGGCTCTGTGGACGAGACTATCGTATTCCTGGAGCGATATTCGATTGTGGCTTATTCAGTGTCGGCCAGCGTGGTGAAGTACCATCAAACGACCCACTATGGCCCACACGGCCTGAGGAGGTGGCCCTTCGTCCAGTCGTGGATTGTGGCAAAGGTCCATAAAACTCAAGAGGACGAGGCAAAATCAGAAAAAAACAACGTAGCCAGGAACGAGCGGCGGCTGACGCGCGCAGAAAGGCCCCGTGGAGCGGAGGCATCCACCAACGCGTCGTGAGGTTGTTAAAAAACGAAAAAATACAAATCCGCTGGGGGCAGGTGTTTGTGAGGTCAGAGGTTCTTCTGCGGCAACAAATTAACTTTAAAAAAAGAAAATTTAATCAATGACCAAAACCGCGCAACGGGGCTGTGCGCGTGCCCCCCCGTCGAGGCTGCTGAAGGGCTGCGCGGAATGAGATCGCGACCCCTCGCCAGATTTCCTCGCCACCATCTGGGCACCGCCGAACGAAAGCAGCTGCCGCACGCACGCACACGTGCCAGGCTCGCACACGTGCCACGCACGCGCCAGGCACGCGCCAGGCGCACACGCCAGGCTTGTACTCATGGTCTCCGCACGAAGATGTGAGGAGCAGTCACTGGTGGTGGCCGGTGCCAGAAACTCCACTCCTCATTTTGCCGCGCACTTGGGAAGGGAGAGTGACATTTTTCTAGGGAATCGCCGGCCTCGGCAGAGATTTCCACGGACACCGACAGCTCACCCCCCCCAACCCCCCGAACGACGTCTTTCAGCCAAACTGAGCCATCGAGGCAAATTAGCCGTGTCATCGCGGCTGGCGGACATCGCAGCTGTGCTGACACAAATGGGTTTTTTTGTTTTCCCCGTAGTCGGCGATTCTGTGCTTTTTGGATATTTCCACAGTGATGCCTTCACGCAAACCCACACGCCATTTGCTGTTGTGTTTCCGGTATCAGCGACGCCTTACGCGGGGTGAGGCGAGGCATTTGTGGTTCACGTCGTAAATGCGTGCGTTTGTGTGGGTAAGGTGCTTGCTGAGTGTATGTGAATAATTTATGATGTCAGAATCTACGTTATTTTGTTCATATATTTTAGATTATTTTGCCTCAGACCTGTGGTGCCATTTATTGGCCATCTCCCACAGACATTGAGCATCGGCAGGGATTCTTGGATGAGAAATTCCACCCAAGGAAAAAGCAATGACATTGAGCCCGCATCCAAAACCAACATTATTGCTCAACGATGCCAAAATTACGTTGACAATTATTTGCTGAACTATTATTTATGTAAAAATCACTTCATCAACACCCTGACCCCTGCTTGGTGTTGTTTTTGCGCTTGGTGGGGGGGGGGGGGGGGGGGGTGAGAAGTTAAGCGACTCCAATTTCACAACAGCGCTGAGGTTTTCGCATTTCCCCCCCGAAATCTTCCCCCCCCTTTCGCGATGGAAATTTCGATGGTAATTTCCCACCTCCCCGCTGCTTTACACAATAACCCCTCGCATCCCCCTAGCCCCGCTCCCGCAGCCGCTGCCCCCCTCCCCCCTTCCCCGAGTGAGATCCACAGCAGTGAGTGTGCAGCTCGGTCACGGTGGTGGTGGTGGGGGGGGCGTTCCCGTGGCGGTGGCGCGCTTGCCGGTCGTTGCAGAGGTTTCGCGGTTCGAGGCCCCGCGGTCGCCCTGGAGAGTACTGCGGGCGCGCATTGCACCATCAAAACCCATTGTTTGCTTCTCACGGTGGACGTTAAAGAAGCGGTGGAGTAAAAAGAAAGGGTGTTGCCGGCGTCATGTACGCATACTTAACTTATCTCGCACTGTACGTTGCCAACCGTGCTAATCGGAGTTGGACCAGAACCAGCAAAACATTTGCAAAGTTACACAGCAAGTTAGTGTATTGGCAAATGCATGTCAATCGTCGCAACTGCAGCAAAAAACTTAGCAAGAGTCTTGAGACCCGGTGAGGCTTAACCGGTAAACAAATGTAATCGTAAATAATAATAATAATGATATCAGTAAACTCGGATTGTTACAACTCTCCGCTGGCCCTGCAGGGAGAACGGCTGTATGCGCACCGTGGAGAAATGGAGACATGAACTCGGCTCGTTGGCAGCTGCTAGGCGACTCGTTACGGAATCGTGAGGCCTCTGGTCAGTGGATTGACCAGAGGCCTGATGATGACGTAATTCGAGCACTCAGCCGGTCAAAGCCGGTCACTGCAAACTGCAAAGTCAATGATTATATATATAAAAAAAATAATCTATGACGACGGCACATGTCCATTCCAGCGTATGGGTTCATCCTCGGAACAAACAGTCCCTTTGAATAGCGATTTATTTATTTATATACAACACGGTCGCGATGGCCTGAAAGCCATGCACGTTGGGGCAGCAGCAGTGCAAAGCACGACGCGTTTGTTGAACCGGCGCCCATGCTACAGGAACTCGGAGCAACGAGTCGCCGGGAGGGAGCAAGTGCCAAAGTCGAGCGGCGCGAGGAAAGACGGAGGAATGTTCACCGTGCGACATGAGAGTTGAACGCAGCACGGGGGAAGCCGGTGAATCCGGTGGGAAGAGCTCTCAATGCCGGCGGAGGCATTAACGCGTGAAGTTCACGGGAACGATAGCTATTCTCGTAGCCATGGCAGAGTTGTCAAAGACGCGACTGAATAATGACAGGGGAGCAAGCGACCGGAGTGAAATCGGCGAGTGGAGGAGGAACTTCCCCCCCTCCACCCCCCAGCCACAAACAGCGGATGAGCCCAAAAACACCGGGGTCGTGGCGCGGTGAGAATCGTGGCGTTGATCGAAAGAAAACACAACGCAGGCCGGCACGGCGCGTGGAGCCGGACTCGAGATCCCGACTCCGCATCTCCGATTCGAACGACGCTCCGGCGGCCGCCGGGTCTCGGGCAAATCGCTCGATTGGGAAAAAAGAAAAGAAAACCGGGTCGGGCAAAGAAAGTTTGGCGCCGGTAAAGAGGACTCGCGGACATGACGGGGATGTCATTGGCCAGGGAAACTAAGCGCGGCACGTGGCCGTTGCGTGACACGACGAGAAGCGGGCTGCTTGTGGAGCGCCGCGGCCGCACGTGCCTCCTGAGAGCCGGCAGCGGCGGGCGGAAAAACGCCGATCGGCTGAGCCATGCCGAGCAACCGTATTCGGCGATGCGTGCGTGCGTTTTCTCGACGGTATTCCTTGCGTGCGTGTGCGAGTACCGCCACTGGCGATACAAAGGTGGCTGGGCGTGGTGCTGACCACCCACCCTCTCGTGTGCCATTCTGGCCTGCATAGGTGCTCATGAACAGCACTTGCCCGTCCACTCTGTGTGTGTGTGCGCACCTGGTGGTAACGGTTCACCAGATTTTATTCCGCACCCTCGCGGTGACGTGGGGGGGGGGGGGAGCGTCGTGGAGTTTTGAGTTTTGTCTTCGCGGCCGACGTCGAAAATGAAAGCCGTTGGGGGAGAGGGCTCCGTGCCGTTTTCTTGACGCGACGGGGAACGTTCCCGTCTGGGAGAAGCGCTCGAATGAGTGCTCGAGAAAAATTAAGCGACTACGAATCGCGCATCATCCACCGCCATCGCCCCGCATTCATCTCTCTCTTGCTTAATTAACATCTCCCACTGCTTATCTCTGACTCCCTGTACTGCCAGCATTCATCGCTCTCCCTCCTCTATTATGTCCCAACACTCAACGATATTCATCTCATCATCATTATCATCTCTCTTCCAGCATATGCGTCTCTAACTGAACTCCGCCACTGCTTATCCTCTCATTCCCTTGTTCTCATATCTCTCCCTCCACTCAACTATAACCATCTTATCTCTCTCTCTCTGCACATCTCTCTCTCTGGACCCTTAAACCCCAATCCTTGTCTCTCGCTCCCCGCACTCGGTCTATCTCCGCACGTATCTTTCGCTGCCCGCATCTTTCTCCGCACACTCCCTGCACGCTCCAAATTCCTCGTCTGACGCAGCAAATTTGTATCGTTGAACTTCTTTCGCACCCTGCGTAGCCAACCGTGCTAAATCTGATTAATCTGCATTTTGGACTCCGGTAATTTTCCCCACGGCTCCCCATGCCTCCCTCCCCCCTCCACCCCCCCCTCCCCCCCTGTATTTTTATTTGCGCTGTATGCGGAGAGGATTTGAAGCAGGTGTCGGGACCGTACCGGTTGCAATAAAGAAACCCCTGCGAGCAGGCGAAAGCAGGCAGGCTCAACAGCGAGCGAGCGGCAAATGCCGGCAGAGATGCGCTCCGAGAGTGACGCACTGCGCAACGCCGCCACCCGGCATCTCATTACGCGGGCCGCGCGCGTCCGCGCGTTCTCCCGTTTGCTCTAAAATTTATGGCTGCTGCAGCAGGGACGGACGGTGAAGGAAAAAAAAGACAACAACAGCCGCCGCCGCTGCAAGCGCGCCCAAAAGCGTTGTCCGGCGCCGACGCTTGCGCAGAGAGCGCTCCTCATTGCCGCAGTCAGCCCGTGAAGTGTGCGGTTCCGCAGAGCATCGCCAAACATTTCGTCCGGCGCTTCTTATTTTACGATGTTGCGGGTGTTGGTGAGGGTGCTGGTGCGGGTGCTGGTGCGGGTGTTGGTGCGGGTGTTGGTGCGGGCGTTGGTGAGGGTGCTGGTGTTGGTGCGGGTGTCGGTGCAGGTGTTGGTGCTGGTGTTGGTGAGAGTGCTGGTGTTGGTGCGGGTGTTGGTGCAGGTGTTGGTGCGGGTGTTGGTGAGGGTGCTGGTGTTGGCGCGGGTGTTGGTGCAGGTGTTGGTGCTGGTGTTGGTGAGGGTGCTGGTGTTGGTGCGGGTGTTGGTGTTGGTGCGGGTGTTGGTGCAGGTGTTGGTGTGGGTGTTGGTGAGGGTGCTGGTGTTGGTGCAGGTGTTGGTGTGGGTGTTGGTGAGGGTGCTGGTGTTGGTGCGGGTGTTGGTGCAGGTGTTGGTGCTGGTGTGGTTGTTGCTGCGGGTGTGTGTTGATGGTAATTTCATCTGTAGGCATTCGTGACTAGAATTACGCTTCACAATATGATTGATTCATAATTCGGGTTAGATCTTAGTGTATATAAATGCTAAACATTTTAAGATAAGCCTGAGTTCTTGTTGAACACCTGATGATGCTGGGTGTATACTCCAGCGAACGTCTTGTACATTTTACTTGGGCTTTTCAACATTCCTCCTCCTCCAAATTGTGTAATTGCACGGATGCATTTTTCAAATTTGGACCGCGATGCGGACGACAATGGCCTATCCCTGCGAACAAAGTCCGCTGCGAAGCGGACGGTGCGTAGTAGTAGTCGAAGTATTTGTAGAGTTGACGCATAACCGTGGTATTTACACGGCACCGCGAGGCCGCATAAATCTCCCGCAGAACTCGCGATCGGAAAGTTGCACATTCGAATCCTGCTGCTGCGGCTGCTGCATCAACTCAAGCCTCTCGATCCTTCGGGGGGGGGTGGGGGGGGTCTATAACAGCCGCACCGCTCCGGACGTTTCGCTACAAGAATCGAGCCAGGTTTAAAACGGACTGGTGCGACTTGGGCCGTGGTAAACGCCTCATCCCCGCTCTGTACAGACTGTTTTTAGGTGCAAGGGGAAGCGTGGCCCACGGCTGCGAGGCCCTCCTCACCTGCAGCTCGACGCCGTAGCCGGTGTACACCGTCACGGTGTAGGTGCAGTCCAGGCTGCTGAAGTAGGGAAACCCCGGCGAATCGGGCGAGTCGATGTAGCCGTCAGGGCCTGTGTAGTTCATGTTGCACGGCACTGGTGGTGGAGGCGGGGGGTGGGGCGGCGGAGCGGACGACAAAGGAGTGGGGGAGGGGGGGGGGGATCGACGAGTTAGCGCCGAATCACGAGCCACGAGGATTTCGGGAAGACGTCGTTTCACCGCTTTGCTCAAACATGTGCAGCCGTGCAACTGCTTGGTCATGCCACTGCTTGCAGAACGCATGTAAGGCGCTTCCACGACGAGACTGCAATCGGGTATTTTTTGGACGTACCCACACTTTGCCCCACCACACACGACCTGCCCCGGTCGACTAGCAGTGGTGACCCTATTTGCGCTGCCGGGAGAAGAGAGAGGCGGAGGGATTTTGAGAAACTTGCACCGTTGTTTCAACTGCCCGGTGATGGAATCAAAGCTGCCGCATCTGCATTGCTAAAGAAAACTCACAGTGGTCAATAACACCGTGGGCCTTAAGGAGGTAAAAATATAGAATGGGTGACGTTTCGGGAAACGGCCCTTCTTCATAGTAGGTGAAAAAAAGAGAGGAAGTTAGAGGCAGCTCGAACCAGGCCGCGCTGTCTCGGAGGTATTGTGTCATCTTTGTAGAGTTCTCTGATAAATAATTGTCACCACCATCATCTTTACCATCTTAGATCATTCATGATCATCCCAATGATCGTCTACAAAAATGTATCAGCATGCGGTGAAAGATTATCATCCACGGAGATCACAATGATCATCTTCAAAAAGTCAGCGCTATCGCGAGCATCATAATAATTATTTTCGATAAGTCACAGGTGTTGAACCTGAACCGATGTCAGGTGATGGCAGCTGCCCACGTGCGGCTGCCTTCACCGTCACCGCCTCCACCAATCCTCCCCTCCCTCGAGTCCCGAAAATCGCCGCACCGCGTTTACCTGGCGTCTGCACGGTGGTGATGATGGTCGTGGTGATGATGGTGGTGGTGGTCGTCTCCTCGTCGGCATCGGTCACGGCGGACGTGGCCGCGTCGCCGTCTGGATGAGCGTCGCTCGACAGAGCGTCGTCCTCCTCCTCTACTTCCTCCACAGCGGCGGTAGCAGCAGCGACGGTCGCGGTGACCTCCGGCCGTCCGACCGCCTCGGTCGCGACACCCAGCGACTCGTCCTTGTCCATCTCCGGCAGCACGGCCTCAGCCACGGGACTCGTTTCGGTCGGACGCTCCTCTACGCCAACCGTTGCCGTGGGAGCAGCTTTGCCATCACCGCCCTCATTTGTAGCAACGGCGGCGGCGCCGGTGGCGGCGGCTGCGCTCAGAGGGGCAAGGCTGCCACTCGCAGTCGCCCCATCGCCCGGCGGAGTGACGTCGTCGCCGCGCTCCGGCTCCTCCGGGCCGCTTCGCTCCTCGTCGGCCGGGGCCTTGCCGACGGCATCGCGCGTCGTCCCCGTGGGGTCCGCGGCAGTGACGAGCCGGGTGCGCGCGTGGGTAGCTGCGTAGTCGCCCGGCGGCTCAGTGGGCAGGGTCGGCTGGGCCGGGGCACGCGTGGCCCAGGTGGCGTCCTGCCGCTTGGCCGTCGTGTGAGCCGGGACGACGCCGCCGCCGCCGCCGCGCCGAGCGCCGGGCCCCGCCGCGCCGGTGCTGCGAGCCGTGGTGAGAACTTCGGCGGTGGTTCCATACGTCGTGCCTGCCGTCGCCGACGCCACCGCCGTTGCCACCGCCGGCGCTGCCGCCGTCTGCCCGGAGTTGGAAATCTGGAGCTTGGTCTGCTGCGTCGGCGTGGTGACCGTGGTGGTCAGCACCGTGGTCGCCATGGCGGCCGCCAGGGCCTCCTTGTCATTGCCGTCGTCGCTGCCGTGACCGTCGTCGCGCCGGTTGTTGTTGTTGTCATTGTCGTCGTCATCGCGGCCGGGCTTTTCGCCAGCGGGTTTGTCGGCGCTCTCGAGGTCGCGGGGGTTCGTGAGGCGGCCGCCCTCGCGCTTGGCGCTCTCGAGCGACGCGACGAGACGGCCGGCGTTCTGCTGGCTGAAGAACGGCTCGCGGCCCAGGAAGTCCTTCTTGAGCAGGGAGCGGTGCACGAGGTCAGAGAGTGCCGAGCCGCCGGCGATGGCCGGCAGCCCCGGCTGCATCCGCTGCGTGCCGGAGCTGGGCTGCACCGTCTGGCTGGAGGTCACCGAGGTCACGGTGAGCACCGAGGCCTCGTCGTCCTCCGTGGCAGACGTGGCCGGGGACGTGGAGGAGGACGCCGTGGGGATGGGCTCGTCGCCCCCGTCTGTTTGAAAAGAAAACACTTAGCGACGGGGCGGACAAACAATTGAATTGCAAAGGAGTGCACGTGGCATTTTGCGCCGGGTAAATGGGTTTAAAAGCGCAGCGATTAAACCACTGGGCCACTGCTCTTCCCGATGAATTTTAATTGTTTGGTGTTAGGTATACTGAATGTGTACGAGTGGATTGATTAAAGTAAATTGTTGCTCGCGACGCGTGCGTAGAATATTACCGTGGCGGTGCCGTTAACAATGCGCGCCGAGGTTGATGCACGCCACGTTATCCGAATGTTCCCCTATATATGTGTATGTATGTTGAACTTCTTTCACACCGTACGTAGCCAACCGTGATAAATTGGGGGCGAACGGGACGCACGTAAGTGTGCACGTGAGAGGGGGAGAAACAGAACAAGGCAAATACAATCGGGACGGTAGAACTAAGACGATAACAATCCGCTTCTCAAACCAAATCACGACCCTTTCTAAATCGTGATTACTAACCAAGTCGCTGTGGGGGGGGAGGTGGGGGGGGGGGTGAAACATTATGAAATGAACCGATAAATTACACAAATTATTCGCAGGAATTGATTGGTGCTAGCGTTGATTAAAACTGTGTTCTGTCCATGTGGCGGCATTTAAGGAATCTCAATTCACAGCGGCGTGGTTGCGGGCCGGACTATTATGGTCGAGGGGTTTTTTGGTTCCAGCAAGATCATAATCTACACTCTGGGACCAATAAGATGTGTACCACTTTGTGTTAAGTCGACAGTGGCGACATTGGGATAAACTCTGGCACAGTAATGTGGAATTTCCAACCGGTGGCCTCGGGCCTGCCAAAAAGAGACGAGCACCATCCCCACGTTCGTCGTTTGTGTACTTTGACCTCTTGACCTCTTTTTCAACTCTCCCACCGGCCTATCCTGGGATTCAAGCAAACCCATCAAGAGCTTGAGGGTCAGCCTCTCAGTGGCATTATCCACCGGGTGGAGACGAAATTCGCCCACCATTTCCTCATCGACATCGACCCACGACGCCGTGGATCGCCCCATACTCGGCGAATCAAAATCTGGGTGACACCAACGCCCGCCCCACCTCCCCTCTCCACCGCCTCCTCCCGTCAGATGACGTCCATTTTGTTTTTGAGGAGATGGCTCAATTGCCGAGCTCCGAATCCGCCGCTCGCAGAGCCGGTCAGTCTTGCTTCCTCTCTCGGGGACAGCTTTATCGGCGTCATCTCCGAAATGCTCGATTTGGGTTATGGAGTCGGTTTATTTATAACCAGCTGAGAGCCCCCCAATCCCACTCCATCACCCCCCCCTCCCCCGAGGCACCACACCTCCCTCTCTCACGCAAAGAAACCTGGGAATTGTGGGAGCTGGAAAGAGGCAGTCGCTATCGATGATCATTTATGGGTAATTTTGAAATTTGCGAAGGTGGCAAAACACAAAGGGCTTAATTTTACATCGCTAAAAAATGTATGCACCGGGGCTGATGAATAGGGAAATCTTTTAAATCAGATATATATTTTCCTTTCTGGGCAGAGTGTCAAAATGTTAAATTAAATGTTGCACTCTTCAAAAGCAAGGAATGCAAGGCGGGCCGGACATTCGAACACTGAAAAGACATCAACACCGCGGGGTCATCAATAATACACACCAAATTTCGGGCACCACCAGCTCCCCCCCGCCACCTCTCCGCACTACCACCTCGCAAGCTTTGAGCTCGGTGCAATTTACCGAGCAGTTGAGGGCTTGAGATAAATGTTTAAAATCATTCGTCGAATAATAATGCAGAGCACAACTCCAAATCACATCACGAGCATCTCACAAAAAAGGGCTCTGCGAAGCGGCGATGCAGCAAAGCTGACGTCGCCCGCGTGGGAACAGACGCTGACAACCCGTCATCCCCCCCCAATCCCCCTTGCCATCTTCTGTTTTCGTCACATCGAGCAAAAGTGGACGAAAAGTGTGGAACACAAGTCAAGGGGGTGAAATAATGGTAATGGAATGAACTGAACCAATTATTCAAAGGGGGCCACACAGTCGGCGCGCCACTGCACGAAAGCAGTCGCTCGCGGTCCGGCAACTCAGCGATCCACCCTGGCCATTGAACGAATGGGTGCTTGATGGGAGAATGATGAACCCGAGAAACCGTGCCGTAGGTTTCCGTAAGAAGCCCCCGGTGGCCCATCCGCTTGTTAGCGGTGCTCGTTATGAACAGCGAGTGAGCTGCTCACCTACAGCAGAACTGCGCCCAACAGTTTTTTCCAGGCCCGGTCGCTGCACCACACTCCTCTACCCCCCAGCCGCCCCGCACCAGGCAATTACAAGCTAACGGTGTCTCTTTCTTCGTCCGTGGGCAATTTTGTTTTAGATTCTAATTAACTTAGCTCGGTCTCCACCCCTTTTAATTGGCAGGCGACAGGCCCCCTCGTCTCCCGAGCGTGCCGATGACCTCGGGTAACGGGGCAATCGCCACGGCGACAGCTTCCAGGTCTTATTTTGGAGCGTGAAAATCGCATTCTCTTCGCGTGCGTGGCCGTGAGCGGCAGAGCCCGGCACGGATTGCCAACGAAAACGGGGCGCCCCCTCCATCTGCCCAGAAACGCGCTCGCCACCGTCGGGTGTTTTTTTACGGTCAGGATTTCCCAAAACAAATTATCCCTTAAACGGAAAGGTCAATGAATTTTGAAATCGAGACTCCGTCGCTGTCGGCGGCCGGGAACGTCACCCGGGCGTCGCGGCAGCGACGCAGATTTCGCGTCTCGTTTTCGGGGCCCTTGAGCTGCGACGTCTGCGGCCGACAAAGCACGTGGCGGTGGCGGCGATCGCCGAGTCAGCGCCGCATTAGATATCTCTTAGCGCGAATAAAATATCAACGATGTGGATTTAGTTTTTTTGGGTGAGGCCCACGTGGTCGTAGTTGTTTTAAGCCAAAAATAATTCGCCACGACGCCTTCCGTCACCCGACAAGCTTGTCACCCTCGCAAAGCTGTTCACCGTTGTCGACCAAATTCTGACCGACGAGGCTGCCTCCGCCTCACCGGCGGCCGAAGAGCTTTCGCGGCCCATTTATACATCGACGCTGCGACGACGTTTCGCCCGCGAAGCGTCTCGATCCACCGCTGGCTCAGCTCCCACGGCGCATCGCCAACGAACAAATTCGCATCTCTTTCAATTGGCTGCGAACAACAGCAACAAAACCCCCCCACTAAGTTTTATAATATGAACGCCACTTCAACATGGGTAGGATTCCCACGTCAAGGTTTGTCAAGGTCAGCTGAAGCCTGATTTTTGTTTTATATGTGAAACTAGATACTAAAAAATACATTTATTAATATTACTATGTTTGTATTATATAGATTTCATAAAAAAACAAACACACACTTTGTCATTACCATAAACAAAGTGCACCGCATTTGCTTTGTTTGAAAAAAAGCATCTCTGGAAGCTCCCTCAAAGGCCAAACGACATCACAAACAACAGCAGCAGCAGCAGCAGCCGCCGTTCGCATGAAATGGCGGTGACGTTGCCACAGCGTCCGCTCCAGGCTGGGTTGCACTTTGAGGCTGTCGAGCGCAGTGCCAAAAGGCACGCTGCTCGCAGGAGGTCACGGGTTGACTGATGTGCCAGGCTAAGGGTGCAGGAGGCCACGGGACAGACTCACTTGGTACAATATATCGATTTAATTCATTAGCATTTGGGATACAAATGTGGTCAGGCATGGTCCTGCCCACAGCACCTCCTTGGGGACTGCGCCAGCCTTCATTAGGTGCTCGCTAACCGCACTTGCCCTTGCGGTCGAGTGAAACTAAACCGGAGGGGAGGGGGACCTTCCTCTTGTGTTTGTGCGAAGGTACAGTGTTGAATAAATGCTCATTAATGGGTTGAAAATATATTAATATATACATAGAACTGCAGAGCTTGGGGGAGGGGGGCAATTGTCGGTGGCGGCGGCTCACCACCCGGGCTGCTGCCTTCTGTCTCGTCTGAATGGCTCGTCATCGATTACGATGACACGATATAACCCTGCACAATCATTTGGTTACTTACGTGGTAACAATGCACATCACAGTTATTCGCAATTACTGAGGTCACCTTTTCAATTCGTGCATTCCGTGGAGAATGCTTTTTTTTCACCGAGATATCTTCCGCAACACTCACTACCTGTTAAAGATCAGAGATAAACCATGAGGTTTTTTTCTGGGTTAGATCGCGTAAATATAAATTTGTCGTTAAACCCGCCACCACCCAACACAGCCAATTAGTAAGGTTTGTCACATCAACAAAACATGTCAATCCGTTACTAGTTCAGCACAACATTTGCAATTCCAAAGAAAAATATTATTTTTTGTTGTACTTGGTAAATAAAGACCTTGCCGTTTTTTTGTGATGTGAAAAAAATAAATTTCGATTTAAAGCTTTCGTGACTGCAAGGATTCATCTTCTTTGGTTCTTTCGGTAAAGTCACGTAGAATGAGAATAAAATAATAAAATAACACAATTAAATTCTCACGACGTTTTGGCTTGCGTTGTGGCCAAAACGTCATGAGAATTTTTTGTGTTATTTTATTATTTTATTCTCATTCTACGTGACTTTATCGAAAGAACCAAAGAAGATGAAAAAAATTAGTAGAAAAATACGGGAAGTGGATCGGCACTCAAAATTTTGGTCGTCTTTTTTCAAATCCAATGCTGCAAATCCCAACGAGGCAATGACGATGACGCCGGTGGCTCTCCTGAGATTACAGCGACGAACAGCCCTGACCTGCTTCCCCCGTGATTGTGACTCCTGTAATTACGGTGAGCACACACGCCGTGGCATTGACCCAGGCTTAATGAGATGACTTTATCAATATTTAATTACAGCTGCAAGCGGAAACATATATGAAGTTTGTTTTATTATTTTCTCCATGTTCGTCCACTGGCTAATGGAGCAGAGGGCAGACATCTTGACAAATGTATCTGCCAGGAGACACTTTCAATAAGGGGCACATTTCTCGCTC